AAATGACGATTACCGTCGTTGGTTCGTCTACCTGGGGTTCCGTAGGCGCCTCCAGCATGCCTTTCCGACTGCTTCTGCTTTCCTGCCTTAGCGTTAAAGTCATCTGCAGGTATGACTATATCTGAAAGTTTCGCTTTATTTAGCAAAGTACTCAGTTCTTGATAGGATTTGTCCTTTGTATCATCTAGACTGCAGTCAGTGGTCATGTAGATAAAGATTATGACTAGCTGTCAGCAAGTCTCATGACTCTCTGCAGTTCTTACAGATCCATGCAATCAGAAAGCACACAGATGGTTATTGACTGGTATCCAGTAGAGAAGTGCTCTTTCTGCTCCATAACTTAATTCTGTACTTAGACCAAGTGCATTGGAAAATAGAAATGCACTCAGTAACCATATTCATGTCCGTGCGGTAGACAGTAAGTCACTCCTGTTTTATGACTGTCAATGATATTACTTGGCTGCCCGAACCTTGGTAGGGGCGGACGGAGTTCGAACCCATGACCCATTGGTTGGAAGCCATCTGCCTAAACCATTTAACCACATCTCCACAATTACGTTGCAGCTAGCCACTGAATCTCCGTACACTTGTTGAATGAATTTCGCAGATTCATCTCACTGGCTGAGTGATGATAAGTGATGGAGAATATTTGTAGCTCAGGTGGATGGTCTTGGTTGTATTGTGTTCTCTGAGCTGGGTTGTTTAATCGTGAAGCTTTCATCGCCTTGCTAGACGACATCATCAGCACTAACTTCAGTATGAAGTGAGCTGTCAATATCTCTCCGTGAGTGATTTAGTAGCTTGCTCTGACAATGTGGTCTGTGATTGGTTGTTTCCTTCGATTGTTGTGTCATTGATTGTATAGATTTCCCTGTTGGCTGTTCCTCTGCTTCACGTCTGACCTCTCTGTCGTTTATCATTTTTCTTATTGGTTGATAGATCTGGTCTATGACCATACATCTATTGATTGCTGACTGATTGACTGACTGACCTGAATGCCAAATTTCTAGAAATTTTCCGATATTCTTCTTTGTGTCTCCTCTCTCCGTCCAAGTTTTCTACAATGTCGAAATTGAATTCATCTCCTTAGCTGTTATCCGTGTGCATTGAAATGAGTGACGAAATGTCGTGGCGTTTAATAGCCAATTGGTGCCCATGTAGACGAAGGCGAAGAGGGCGGCCGCTTTGTCCAATGTAGTGCTGACTACAGTTATTGCAGTTGATTTTGTAAATGATATTCGGTTTGTCTTCTTTGTTTGTTGCATCCTTTGGTCTGCATAATAGTGTTTGGAGGGAATTTGTTGGTTTATGAGCCACACCAATTCCAAGTGGTCTCAGCAATCTTGTGATTTCTGAAATATTCTTTATGTATGGTAGGACGATGCGTTTGTTGATTTCTGTCGATGACTTTGTAGTTGGTGATGCACGAGATAGGCATCTTCTGATAAAGTTTCGTGGGTAGCCGTTCTTCTTTAGGGTGGACATCAGGTAATTTTCTTCGTTTCTCCGTGAAGTTGTTGTGCTGCAGTGTGTTCTCGCTCTTTTGAATAGAGTCTGCACGCAACTGATTTTGTGTTGTTGGGTTGTTGCTATTGTAGTTGAGGATTTGGTCAGTGTGTGTTGGCTTCCTGTACACTTGGGTTTCCAGCTTTCCGGCATTTGTCCTACTGACTAAAACATCCAGGAATGGTAGTTGGTTGTTTGACTCTTTCTCCATTGTGAATTTGATGTCATTGAAAACGTTGTTGATCAAACTGTGGGTGTTTTCTATATCATTCTTTTTAATGATGACAAAGGTGTCGTCTACATAACGAATCCAAATTTTTGGTTTGATCACAGGTAGAATAATGGCTTCCAGTCTCTGCATCACTGCTTCTGCTATTAATCCGGATATCGGTGATCCCATTGGAGTTCCTTTCATCTGTTTGTATATCTTGTCGTTGAATTGAAAGTATGTTGTCATACAAAGGTCGATGAGTTCCATCAGACTTGAACATTTGAGTTTTGTGCGTTCTGAAAGGTTTTTGTCTTCATTGATCAGGAGGGATATGGGTTCCTTGGCCAATTGAGGTTCGATGGATGTGTATAGTGCTGTAACATCGAAGGATATCATTAACTCATCGTTTTCTATGTTAATATTTTTGATCTTTTCTAAGAATTCTGTTGGTGACTTGATGGAATGTCCGCATGATTGAACGAGGTGTTTCAATTTTCTCGAAAGTTCTCTTGATATGTTGTATGTTGGGGTTCCCGGAAGTGAGACTATTGGTCGTAGAGGGATATCGGGTTTGTGTAGTTTTGGTCTGCCGTAGGATCGAGGCAGGAAAGGTCCATTCGATTTCATACGCCATTTGTTCAAGGTTTTATTGATCTGGTTGTCGAACTTTTAGATAGGGTTGGTTTCAAGTGGTTGATGCACATTTTTGTCTTTGACCTATCCTTCCTCGATTCTACGGCAGACCAAAACTACACAAACCCGATACGTAACTGCAGAGCTCGAAGAATATTTTCTTGAGGCCAGTCACACGACTTATTCAAAAGCTTTTGGGTTAAGATTTGCTTGTTCTACTGCTAGACAATAAAAAACTATAGCAACGGTACCGGGCACCGCAAGACAGGGATGAATGTACTGTTTTTGGGACCAATATCTCGTTTACCCAAGCCAGGTAGCCTACACGGCTCACACTAACTGTGCGAGTTCTCTTGAATTGGTAGGATGTATATACGGGACCATTCTTTAATTTCATATACCTATACACTGGCGATACTTTGACACAAAATGTTTCAGCCGATTAAGTCTTTAAGAAAACAAGCAATACTAGCGAATAGATATTTCTTTTCAGTTTGCTCCTCATCGGTAGCTCTGCACTAATATACACCTTTTTCAATATATAAAATTACATAGGAGTCTAGTAGTGATAATTGTTTAGTCCCGATTGACAGCTGCTACCTTGACGTGACGGTCAGGCTTGTATATCACAATTACGCAACGAGCTATGTTGGTGGAGCGCTTTTCCCCTCGAGTTTCTATCATACTAGGAAGGTCTGTTGGATAGTGGTAAGATGAAAAGCAGTTACTGTTGTAATGTAAATTGCTACTCTGAGATAGGGCTGTCTTAAGGACGAAGTCATACTGCTGCGTGGACGAGGGTGTGAGCGTAGTAAGGTGTTTTCCTTGGATAAATAGCAGTATCAGACTGATCGTGCCTTCTCCATAAGAAAAGACGGAAGGGGGTAAAAAGGGTCGGCCTCGAAAGTAGCACACTCGCACCCCCTCGTGGTTCGCCGATGACAGCAACAGGGATTCACAGTGGCATTCAAAGGCGAAAAGCCAAAATCTCAAAATTGCCAAGAGGCCATGTGTGACCGGCCTCAAACCTCAACCGCTATACTTAATCACATCACTTTCTCATTCTTCCATCTTCTCTTTTACTACCGATTTTTCTTTCCTTTATCTATTTTACTGCCGTGTTACTTGACGTACTGATATGAGTTGTGGAAACTTACGCAGTAATGCCTAGTCCTATGTTGATCTTGATGATGATGAATGAGCCTGTAGTTACTCTTGCTTAACTTCTCTCTTCTGTAGTTCGGAACAACGCTTAAAGTTACTTATATAAGGTAACGTTGTAAACTATGCCTCAATTGGAACCTCACTTTATTCAACAAATATCTATCACCATTTTTACAGATCATCAGAGATACGTACACAAGACTTCTGTTTTACACACGTATCTGTGACCATTTAGTTTTATAAATTTCAAAGTCTAACTCTGACTATAGATTCATCCATAGTCATTTAAACCGCTGACTAGATCATTTCACCTATTGTCTTTGATTTACAGTTCTAAGCTTCTATCTCTTGGTGATCATATTGCAGACCAGTGTCTTTTTCAACTGCACTTCATTCCACAACTGTTGCCAACTGTTCGTGCATCATCATTCTTTCTTGTCTTCCTTGAAGGTCAGCTGCAGACTTCATAAAATTATCTATGTTCAACAACTATTCACATGTTCTAGGGCTATTGAAATATATTACTTAGTATCGTTTAAATCAACTGTTTTTTTCCATTTTATCAACGAAATTGACCCTATAGGCTTTCTCTTCAGACATATTTATCGTGTATTGTTTCGAAATCGATCAGTTCATGTAGTTGAAAGAAACCCTGGTGATAAAAGGCAATTTCTATGCCGGTGATTGTGAAGTAATCCAAAAGATTTTTAAATAAGAATAATTTTATACGCAATTCCCGGTTGGTTTACTTATCATATTCTTCCATTGTTGTTAATTTTGATATTTACAATTTGCCTTAAAGTAATTATTGAAAGTGAAATGGATATGTTGCGGTCTATAAAATAATTTCAAGTTGGTTACTCATCATGGACTGATATCAGTTGGCGCAAAAATTGGAAACCTGGGAGAACTGGACAGCTGTTTCGTTGTAGTGTGGGAATCCTCAGCAGTGCAGTGCGCATCCGCGACCCAACCACGGATCGAACTCAGGACCGAGTTCTGTGACCAACATGTTACCATTGAGGCACTGTGGCAAACCTGGTGACTGTGAAGACAAATACTTAACGCTGACATTTGGTGATGGTCATGCTGTGTCGTAAACTGATAGAAGTTAGAAATATAAACCATTGGATTCCAAACCAGTGGCTGGCTCAATGGCATTATGCTGGCCACGGAACCTGGAGGTTCTGGTTTCGGTCCCCGACGGGGTCATGACTGCTCACTGTTGAGAGGTCCCATACTAGGATGAAACAGGTGTCCAGTTTTCCTCCAACCGATATCAGTTCATGACGATTATCAAGTTGAAATCAATAAATCCTCCCAAACCCTCAAATCAATTATATATATATATATATATATATATTATATATATATATATATATATGCTCTTAAAACTTCGTATTGAGAATCTTTAATTAATCAAACCCCAGTCCATGACCATATTCTAGATATATGTTTTTCTAACATTTTCATATTTTATATAAAGTCGAAACCAGTAGGTTCCACAATGCTCAAGTCGAGTCAACGGCCTAGATATGTTTTACCACCGGACATCAATACTTTTACCTCTAAAACTTCAACAACAAATATACCTCAAATACCATATAATCCCCTTCCACTGAAACCTCCAACTTTTGAATCGAATCAAATATCCACTCCGTTAATTATAAGCAATCCATCTAATGATGTAAAACCTGCTTATCTTCCTGTATCAACGGGAGCAAGTCAGTCTTCACAATCCAAATGTCAGAATATCAATTCAGCGTCAGCAACACCATCTTCAATGTCATTAGGTAAGTTCATTCTCACATGTCATATACATTTAAGATGGGATATTTGAAAATGTTGGTGTACGTAATTTACTGTTTTGGACAATGTTATCTAATTAATTGGATACTGTTTAGTGTAATGCATATGTTACAGTGTCTATAGTTAGAGTTCCATGGCGAAATCTACACATCAGCCCGCTTGGTTTTTAACTACTCAAGTTGTTCAGTAGTAGTAGTAGTAGTCAGTTGACATGGTTGTGAACCTTCACCGATTGAGATGGTTGGGACATGTGCTACATATGCCTAGTCACCGTCTGCTTGGTCATACAATGTTGGCCGAAATAGATTCAGGTTGGAAAAAGGCCCGAGGCGACCAGACTAAAACATAGCGTCAATGTATGAAACGTTTGACTGTTAGTTTGAGCCACGTGGGACGATGCAGATTAGCCGGCTGGGATCCGTAGGACAAGAGAAACCAGTAATTGGATAATGTAGGTGGTGCATCATGGCTGAGAACCGATGTCAGTGGCGCAGATGTATACACATACATTATCCTCATCTTAACGACGGTATATCGAATCTCACCGTTTTCTCATTCTTTTCTCTCTTTTCGTATTTTATATTTCTTTTGGCTGAATTTTCTTTCCTTCTTAATCTTCCACTTGACTATCTTTTTACTTGATGTACTGATATGAGGTGTGGCAACGCAGAGCGTCACGCAGTAATGCCTGGTCCTATGTTGATTTGGGTGGATGGATTAGTAGTATCTTTCTCTAGTTTGTGGCACTTTTTTGTCAAAGATCACACACTGTGATCTTAGCGTCCGAGCTAATGAGCTCAGTTCCAAATGGGTTAAACAGCCGTCCAGTGTTTCGATCAGTGATCAACCTGGGTGCTTTCTAACTACTCAAATAGTTCAGTAGTAGTAAAGAGTGTCTATAGTTATCATGAATTGTATTGATAACACCACTATTAATGGTGTATTATTTACAATAAATTCAAAATCAAATCTCTTAAAATTTATTCATTGCTCTATTGAATTTAGATTCTGGTTGTGGTCATGTAGAAAAATGTGGACTTTGTGTTGAGGTTGACAAAACAGTGATGGAGCATTAAGTAAATCAGTTTGCAGGAAACCAATGTGAAATGGTCAACTGATGAACTTTAATGACTGGGCCTCTGTAAGTTGTAAGCGAAACTTGATCATATCTCCTGGCACTCGCACTGGACGAATCAAAAGTTCGATGTGTTAGAAGAGGAGATTTCTGTTCTAAAGAATATCCTGATTGTGAGTTCGCACTACATGACCTCAAGCCTAAACTCATAAGAGAATCTTATAACTGTGCCAAAAAAGACACTCTATGTGAATCTAAACTTCAAAGTGGATTGTGCCGCTGATACTCTTAAAAGGAGGATATCAAATACTCTAAGGTGAACGTTCTTTGTATCAACGCTGAGACTAGTTTTCTTGTGTAGCTCAATGATTTCTAACAAAGCAAAGGAAAAAGTTTCTCATCTGACCACTCCTGTGTGCATATATAATTCATCTGTTCTTGTAGAGCGAGGTATATAGGTCGTTCGATGCGACTGTTATCCAAAGGGGTTTAAGAACACTATCCCACATGGTTACAAAGAGGTAACAATGGAGTGATAAGGAATGCTATGATTGAACACATCGGGAACACGAATCACTCTATCTCAAGAATCTCCTCGTTCAAAGTCATCCATATAGTGAAGAGACCTTGCAAAAGCTGTATGTCTTCGTATTCTCTGCATCTCCGAAGCTGTTACCATCCACATGGAGGAACCTGAACTGTGTACGCAAAAGAAGGTTGTTCAACCCCTTATCTTTTCATGGTCTTAGTTTCAGGCCTTAAAATTACCTCTGCTCCCTTTTTTGTCTGTTTTTACACTACTCACTTCTTTCTTGTTACTAAGTTCCAGTTGTGTTGTCATGTTACAAAACTTCTTGTCCAAACTTGTTTTGACTAATATTCACTACTCATCACAGTTTTTTATTTATTTTAACGACAGCTCATTTATTTACACTATTTGTGTTGCTTGACAAACCGTTTTTAACTATCAAATCTTTACACTAGAAAAAATGTATAAATTTGTAGAAGTAGTATTCTTCATGGGCTGACATCAGTTGGGGAACCATTGAAAATCTGGGAGCACTGAACACCTGTTTCATCCTAGTATGGGACTCCTCATCACTACGCACCCACGACCCAGCTAGAGATCGAACTCAGGACCTTCAGGTTTCACGGCGAACGTGTTAACCATCCAGCCAATGGGTTGGTTTCCAGTGGTTCACAATTTCCAACTTCTGTCAATCCACAGCATAGCGCGACTGTCACCCAAGGTCTTCCAGTTAGCATCCACTTCACTTCCGACTGGTTGACCCCACAGGTCCTTGGGTGACAGTCGCGCTATGTTGTGAATTGCCAAAAGTTGGAAATTGTGAACCACCGGAAACCGACCCAGTGGCTGAATAGTTAACGCGTTCACCGTGAAACCAGGAGGTCCTGAGTTCGACCCCTAGCCGAGTCGTGGGTGCGTACTGCTTAGGAGTCCAATACTAGGACGAAACAGGTGTGCAGTGCTCCCAGATTTTCAATGGTCCCCCAACTGATGTCAGTTCATGATGAATACTACTTCTAAATTAAAAATCCCCGCTAATCTCAAAAATACATAATCCATTTTGTTATCACTCATACTTCGTGTTATCAAAAGCACCTTTATCGTTATCACTATTATTATTTATTTACCATCTGTTATCTGATCTTCAAATAGTTGTTCTTTTTATCAGTACTGATATAATACTGCATGTTGAAATGATAAGAAGTCCAGCAACTTGGAATAGTACGCACTTGTGTCAACTTTTCTTCTGACCACCTGTTTGATCCCTTTTAATTATTTTCTTGAAAAAGAAAGGAGAATCTCCGTGACACTGGTTATTTAACTTACTGCAACAGGTTGATCTCAACCTCTTTTCTTTTTTTTTTAGGGGTTGAACAGTAGCTCATTAGTTGAAAGAGATGACTTTAAACCAGTTGGTCACGAGTTCGAAAACCGTCCCACCTACTGAGGTTTGGCAGCCAGATAGTACTACCAACCTTCCTCACAAAATAGATGTGACTCATTGCTTACTGCATAAATATGTACAAGGTTGCTGAGTACACTTCATTAGATTCCTTTTTTAGGATGGGTATGCAACTTTCTCAAGCAGAAGATTTACGGGATACTTAGCGTGTCTATTGCGAGCGATAAGAATCACCACACAGATACATAATGGCTTACTGTCATGTATAAATTTCCCACTGCTATAAAGGACCGAATCGCTTGACCTCTGTTGGCAAATGGCTCCTATGAGGACGCTTCTATGCTGCCGGATACTCATGATGTTATATTGATCTTGGTGGAGCGATGTGTACTGAGTTCGAGCCTCAGTAGGAACAACATCACTCACTGGGATACAGGTTACATCAAACTGACGAATCTCAAATAGGACGAAACAAATGTCGTGGATTCTTCTGCTAGTTACACTAATAGTACCCACAAATATATTCAATGTGAACACACTTTAGTTTTTCTCTCGCTCCAGTTAATGCCTTTATTGCTAGGACGTATAAAACGTCGTGTATTCATTAATCGTAGTGACGAAGTCCTTCTTAAAATTAGTTACTTCGTTGGCGATGTAATTTTGAACAAATACATTGGTTAATTGCGTTCTGTTGCTAATTTTGTTAAAGTAATAAAAGCAACTAAGTTTTCCCAAGGATACGTCAGTAATCTCTGTGTTAGCATTATTGTTTCATCATAAGATTTAAGTCAGTTAAGATAGATGTTGTCCTCCATCAGAGGGTTGTCGGAGATATGAGTAACTGACTTTGGCCTTCAACTTTCAGACAATAGACACAATATTCAAACCCTACTGTATCGACATCCATCTGGATAGCTGTATAGTATTATGAGTCTTTACACAATAACCCAACTTGTCGCTTACTACATATATATGTTGACCATAGGTAAGTCTGACTTCATAAGGGTTGATCTACTCCCTGGACGGCATCTGGTTGACATGGACTATACAGATGATATTGTCCTGCTTGGTGAAGACCCTGACAAGACGCAGCGTCTTCTTAACGCGTTAAGCAGAGATTTGAGTATTTTGGCACCTGTCAAATGTAAGATAATGCTCGAGGCATGGTCTGCAACTGCCTCTAGTTTAAGAATAGGGAGTGAAGTGGTGGAATGCATCGATCACTTCATTTACTTGGAGAGTTGCATCAACCTGACCGACTAGTTACTGATAAAATCTCAGCTCGAATAGAGAAGGCGACTTGACATTTGCCAACTTGGATCACCTGTGGCGTCGACTGGCGAGATATCCGACTATCACCGAACAAGTATACTGTGCTACAGTTCTTCTGCCATGTTGAACTGCTGGGACAAGGGATTACAGAGTTTAGTCACAAGTGTCTTTTTAGTATTACTTGCGTTTGGTGGCATCACCGTATGAGCAATGTTTAGGTAAGGTGTAGAGTACTAGGCAAGACAAGCAAGTCGATTGATGAGGTTGTGGACTGAGATGGCTTGGTCATGTACTGCGCATGCCTTCCTCGACATTCCATGCTACGTAGAGTAGGTTTGATTAGGTTGTAAGAGGATTCAGGGTGGTGAGTCCATGAAGTTTTCTGCTGATGGTTGGAGCTGTGTGAGGCGATTTAGACTGCCTGGTTGAGGTCCCAGAAATGAAGGGAATGAGTAATTGAGGACTCTTGGTGATAAAGCTTAAAATAGGTGATAATTGCTTCGATGTATTTCACTCCTTGACATCTTCTAAAGCTTGAATATTTGCACTAATCTTTCATCTTCAACTTGCTTGTTCTCTCATACAACTTTGTGTTTGTCCTTGATATTAGTCTTTTTCTATCCACCTGCCTTTGCATACTACTGTGAAGCGTGGCGACTTCGACTGGATGCACTTTGGTTTCGTAGTCGAACTCCAAAGTAACAAG